AGGATTACATAATTGACATGTTCCGCTAAGCCACTGAAGGTTGGTGTAAGGACTCCTGTAAGAGTTCCTAAAAGGACTTCGGGTTTAGGGTTCATAGGGTTTTTAAGGGCTCAAGATTTAGCGTCTAATGGCTTAGGGTGTAGGATTTTGGATTTGAGCGCTTCGGGCTAGGCTGGGTTTCAGTGGCTTCCGTCGATGTTCGTGAGGTTCTGAAGAGGAATCTTTCGTCGGACTGTTGTAGCGTGTAGGATGCTTTCACCAAGGCCGCGTAGTAAGGGCTTGGAGGGTCTACAGGGCAATGCAGGGTATGAGGCAGCTTAGGGTGCTAATTTTGAGCAAAGTGAACCTAAACCCTCAACCCTGAACCGTAAACCCTCAACCCTAAACCATAAGGTGAAGGTGATGAGTGTAGCATTTGGGGAATCCTAGAGTTTGAGGCTCTACCAGATTGGATGTGTCCACACATCCCTCGCCAGTGCTCGATGCCCAGATATTTGTGTGTTGCAGTCGCGAGTTTAAGATCAAAATCTAAACATATTTCGGCAGCCCAAATCTCTATACATCTCTTAACCCTAAGCCCGAAACCCAAACCCCCTAAACCCTGCACTCCCAAACCCCAATATCCTTAAGCGGAAACCCAAAACTCCCAACAAACTACCCGTCTGGTACCCTGACATTAACCCTCAAAATTAAAGCCAAAACCCTAAGCCCGAAACAGTACCCTGAAACCTTCACCGTAAACCCTAGCCCCAAACCGAACCCTAAACTCTAAACCCCAATCCCCAATCCCTAAACCCTAAACCCTAAACCCCAATCCCTAAACCCTAAACCCTAAACCCTAAACCCTAACCCTCAACCCTTATCTGCCCTTAGCTCAACGCCAACCTACCAAAAGCCTGGGCGCAGGAGTCGGAGAAGGATCCGGAGCGGGTGCCGGAGCCGCCTTCACGCACTTCGCCTCACCTAGGGAGAGCGTAGACGCTCGGCTCTCGGGTGTAGTTTAGGGGTTTAGGGTTCAGGGGTTTAGGGTTTAGGGTTTAAGGTTTAGGGTTTAGGGTCCAGCAGCTCCGGATCGAGCAATTTTATAGTAGAGTTGTATTCACGGTTTCGATATAACACCCACCCACCCTAAGAATCCCATAACATTAAGAAAATACAAAGTTCGTCTCATCATCATTCAGCGAAGTTTTACCTACAACTTAGCTTCATACACTTTTATATTCGATTTGTTCCGTTCATGTTTGTGGACAGCAGTGACTTGTACGATTTGTTCCGGATGTGTGGGTCTGCAGCAGGAATTTGTGCGATTTGTTCCGGTCATGTTTGTGGACAGCACTGACTTGCCCGATTTGTTCCGGATGTGTGGGTCGGTAGTAGGAATTTGTACGATTTGTTCCGGTCATGTTTGTGGACAGCAGCGACTTGTACGATTTGTTCCAGATGTGTGGGCCGGCAGCAGGAATTTGTACGATTTGTTCCGGTCATGTTTGTGGGCAGCAGTGACAAATTTGATGAGGGCTGAGAGGTCCAGGTGCCAACTTGCCCAAAACAACTAATCCCATGATGTTCAGGGGCCAACTTGCCAAAAAACAACTAATTTGATGAGGTCTGGGGCCAGCTTGCCAAAAACAATTAATTTGATGAGGTCCAGGGGCCAACTTGCCAAAAAAACAACTAATTTGATGAGGTCCAGGGGCCAATTTGCCGAGAAACAAGTAATTTGATGAGGTCCAGGGGCTATCTTGCCAAAAAACAACTAATTTGATGAGGTCCAGGGGCCAACTTGCCAGAAAACAGCTAATTTGATGAGGTCCAGGGGCCAACTTGCCAAACAACAACTAATTTGATGAGGTCTGGGGCCGAGGACGAGCTAGAACTTGAGAAACCGAAACTTGCCAACAAACAACTAATGATACTAAAGTTTAAATTAACATATGATAAAGAGGTTTAGGGTTTAAGGTTTAGGGTTTAGGGGTTTAGGGTTTCGGGTCTAGGGCTCAGGTTTTCAGGGCTTTCGGGCTTAGGGCTTATGGGGTTTAGGATTTTCGGTCTGGGTTCAGGAGTTTAGGGTTTAGGGGTAGGGTAGGGTCTAGGGATTAAGGCTTTCGGGTTGGGGGGCAAGTGGGAGCTTTCTGCAAGACCACCGTGATTCAGCTGCAGTCGATTCTTCGCAAGCGATTCCGCCATGATCGTATGCTACTGTAGTGCCCTAAATCCTACTGTAAACCTTAGATCCTAAACCCGAAAATCTTCAACCCTACAACCCGCAGGGTTCATCGCACGACTCGTCTGACCGAGGCCGAGAAGCAGAAAGCAATGGTTGTTCTGCATGGGCGCTCGCCAGCTACCTGCCAGACACGGCCTAGGGTTTAAATTTTGCGGTTTAGGGTAGGGTTTAGGATTTAGGGAAGGGAAGATGAAACTGATGAAACAATGCACCGCCACGAGATGCCTGTCGAAGTTGTACGTTGCATTGAGCCCGCAGTGTCTAGGTTTCTTTATCAACGACACTTCGTCTGCCACCTAGAAGACTGTCTTCTTCATGGAGCCAGTGAAAAGGCCTCCTTACGCATGACCCTAAACCCTAAACCCTAAAATTGAACCCTGAGCCCTAAAACGCCTTACAACTTCAGCATGGCAGCGGAGAGCCCCTAGATCTCTCAGCGAGTGCCCAGTTCAAAAGGACAGCCCTGGCGAAAGGCCGTGAAGAAAGTTGAAACGAATCCAAATGCAATAGGTGAATGGGTTCAGGGTTTAGGGTTTAGGCTTCAAGGTCTAGGGTTTAGGGCTTAGGGTTTAGGGTGAATAGTGCTGAATACGTGGTTGTGAACCTAGACCGCGGACCTAAACCTCTGACAGTACTCCCAAGCAGCTAAACCTTCAAGCTCACAGTCTCAAGTACATCAAACTGTGACAACCACACGCCCTTCTCAAAGCCTTACGTAGGGCCCAAAAAAAAGCACATAAGCAAAAATTAGGATCCGGATATCCCATATAAATCCCGTGATAATGAAGCCCAATAAGGTAGGGATATCCCTATAAAAAGCTTATGCTTATGTGCTTTTTGGGTCCCGAACTTAAGGCATTGTATCTCCCACCTGGCCCCCCTTGCCACAATGCATCCGCGGGTAGAGATAGGCCTGGAAGGCTTCGATTTATGGAGATGTCTGCTCAGAGAATATGTACATACACTGGCTTATGCTTTAGTCTGATGTGAGCTCGATTGAGCTCGTGATTAGCAATGGTCCCCGCCATCGAGCTAAACTCGGCCTGCACACAATCATAAACTCCATCTCAATAGTCCTAAATTCCTGTCCCGCGTTTATGTTTTAAGCTTTTGGAAAATGGACGCTGCTAGTACAAACTTACTACTTCGGATCCCCCGACCACAAATCCGGATTCAGGATGTTCAGGGGGGCGGGTCATTAATCAGGAGACCACATTAAAACTCAGAAGACTCCAAACTCACTTCTCGAGCCTCGCAACCCAGGGATGCCACACTACTGCCTGAGAGCCTTGGCCCTTTAGACTTTAGACTTTCGGATATTCGGATATCTTGTGGCACGCTATCGTCTATCGTGAGTGCATCATGTTTTATTGTGTATACATGTATACACATGATATATGTTATGTATGTATATGTCCAGATTTGGGCTTTGTGGGCTTTGGGATTTGGGGTCCAGCTTTTCTGCTTTATGGGCTAGCAGCAGCAGCAGCAGCAGCAGCAGCAGCAGCAGCAGCAGCAGCAGCAGCAGGAGTACTAGTAGTAGTAGTAGTAGTAGTAGTAGTAGTAATAATAGTAGTAGTAGTGGTACTGGTAGTAGTAGTAGTAGTAGTAGTAGTAGTAGCAGCAGCAGCGCAGCAGTAGTAGTAGTGTAGTAGCAGTAGTAGCCGCCGCCGTCGTCGTCGTCGTAACAGTAGCAGGAATAACAGAGTCGGAGTAGTAGAAGTTGTTGTTGTTGTTGTTGCTGCTGCTGTTGTTGTTGCTATCGTTTCTGTTGTTCTTGTTGTTGCTGCTGTTGCAGTTCTCGTTGTAGTTGATATTGCTTGGATGATGATGATGATGATGATGATGATGATGATCTAGTAGCCCTGGAAGTTTGTTGTAGGTTGTTGCTGTGGCATTAACTGCTGTTGTTTTCAGCAGAAATCGAAGAACAAGCAACAAATGTGGAAGTTCATCAGAAAGACTCCAGGATGCCTCATCCGCGGAGCGAGGCACACCCCCGCCCGCTGCAACAACAAAGTGCCAAACAGCCGCGGCATCGGAGCTTAGTGCTAGTGTTTCGAAGCTGATGGTGTTTAAGTTTGGCTTTGATGCTTGAGGTGTCGGGATGTGGGTTTGCGTCCGGTCTGGAAAGAGGTCAGGGCATTGTGTGTCCAAAATGGATGGGCTGCACAGTGGACCTTAACCTCTGATATCAGAGTGCTCATGGGTAATTGCTGGCATGCCTCTCTATGCTGTCACTCTGGCGTTTCTTGCTGTGTTTGAGTCGTCGTGGAAGCGGTGGCATGGGTAGCATTGGTCGTGGCGGTGGTGGCGTTGGCGGTAGTGCTGAAGGCCGCGGCGCTGGTGTTCTTCCTTCAATTCGGATCCTAGGTGTCATCTTAAAAGCTTTGCTTGGCTTGGGGTTTGATGAGGCCTTTCCTCACATTCAAGGGCTGCGGCTTGGGATGTCGGGCTCAGAGTCTGGCTTCGAGTGCTCATGGTCTGCTCCCATAGGCATTCCGGCATTTTCCTCCGGCCGGCAAGAGGTCCCGAAGCTCAGCAGCTGGCGCTTGTCTACCCTCAGCTTGGGAAGAGGCGGGCTGACGTTAGCAATGATGTTTCAGGGCATCCTTATAAGGAATCTCAAGGCTTGATTTTGCAAAAAGGTCGTAGAAAACCTGAGAGGCACCAAACTCCTACCGCCCCCCGACTCTGCCCGAAATCTTAAGTCCCAAATCCCCAACATTCCCCAACCGAACCCCTGAGACGCATAAGGCGAGGAGCCAGTAGATCAGTCCTCCTCGTCGTCGCCACCACCGCCAGCACCCTTGGATGCCATCATCTTGCCTTGGAGTCGCCAACAACTCCTAGCTTGAAGTTTGGAGCTCACAGTCCAGAGTCTTCAATGCTTTGTTGAAGTTGTTTTGGAGTTTGAGGCTTAGGGTTTCGGCTTTTTCTTGGGTCTTTCGTGGCTTCTTCAACCTCAGAAGCCCTGAAACGCCTCGGGTCGACGCAGCGGGGAACAGGACGTGACTTTTGAAGCCGCGCGGCGGCGCACGCGCCCCGGGCGGCCGCCTCCGAAAGGAGAGGTCAGGGCAAAGTCGATGTGCTTCTCGCTGTCGAGGCGCCTCGGGTAGAGAGCCCCCGCAGCCCTGAAGCGAAGCCATCTCCACAGGATCCTTCAAACGGTATAGGCTTCAGGATCCGGGCTGCAAGTTCCAAGTCTCTTGATCCTAAGGTCAGGATTTAAGGTGGGTTTCCACGGATCTGGGGTCGCCACCCTCGAGCTCCGACCTCAACCCCGACTCCGGCTGTCTGCTCCCAAAGCCTCATGCTCCCGAGCTCCTAAGGCTCCTACACCCAAACACCGCTGAAGCCCGTCGCTGCCCAGACACACCAGGAAGGAGGGAATGTCGCAGATCTGCTTCCCCACACCTAACGGCGACTGCCCAAATCATTAGAATCAGGCTGTCCGGTACAATGAACTCCCAGGACAACTCCAAAGGGATGTTGAGGAGGAATAGACATGTTTCACCGTTTGGATCTCACTCACGCGAACCAGACTATTTGTTCCCATAGTACCCCCCAGATAAGCACTGTAAATGCGTAGATAACGCATCGGCCATAGGCATAGTTATGATTGGCCTCATCATACATGCCTGATGATGTTGATGAGAAATATTCTCGGAATTTGGAAAGTCTTTAAATAGACCCGGAAGTTCGCGTAATATCCGATCTCGCCCCTGAGATAGTCTCTGTCAGCCACGCCGGATCCACAAAAAACTCATCCAGAAGCAAAACAGTGTCGTATTTCTTAAAGAAACTCTTACAGACAGGAGGGAGTGGGGCAGTCGCTGCAAAAAGCCAGGTATGATCGTGAACAGGGACGCAGGCATATAACTACCCGGACTACCCGAACTCAGAGGAACTGTGATGTCACGACAGTTGCACGAGCAAACACACAGCAAGGCTGAGAGTCCCTTCGAATTCGATCTCAAAGTCCTCAAAACCTCCGGTGCAGGAAAGATCAGGAGTAGTAGCGACACAGACAGGAGTCAGAAGATGAATGAGTATCATCGTGTTTTTTAGAAGAACACCAGCGTCAGTATCAACCTAAGCATGAAGAAGAAGAGGAAGGGGCAGCCCAGGAGGAGTCCAGGCGCGGATGTGGCGTTGGCGGATCAAAGTGCGGGCGTGGTGGATGGACTTGGCGAGGCCAAGCTTGAAGACCTCGCGCAGAGCAGAAGGCTCAAATGATGGCTTCCCAGGTCTTTGGCTCGTTCGATCGTGCCTTACGCACTGTTGCTTTTGTTGCGGCTTTGAGGACTGTCTGGAGGATGCGGTAGCCTTTTAGCATTGGGTTCACCCCAACACCGCCCAACACGAAACCACCAAGTCGGCCCCAAGGCCCCAAAAGAAATTCAACTGACCGAAGGATCCCTCAAAGATAAAAGACGGATCCAAATGCTCATGGCTGCGAGGGCTGCGACGGCTGCGGCCTTGGTCTGCAGACGCCTCTCCATGATCTTGGCCGTGGTCAGGCCCAGCACGAAGTCGAGCTTCCTTATTGGAGTTTCGGCACGTAAGAGTTGAGGGTTGAGCGGGGGAGCTGAGAGGCTTGAGGTGCGGGGATTCAGGGCAAACCTCGGGCCGGGCCACACGTCTTAAGGATCAACCCCAGGAAGCTTTAAACGGTGGACGAGCATCTTCTCGGATTCCAGGAGCAAGCCCAGGCGAACCATTCGCCTCGTGGCGGGACGTTCTGAGCAGTTTGCCGCAGGCATCCGTCGCAAAATCATGAAGTCCATAGTGCACTACGTTGCTTTTCGAAGCTCCTACGGGTGCGTCTTGCAGTGTTCCATCTCATTTTCTGTTTACATTCCTTGAAAGACGCTGATACGTGCAGCTGTACTCGCAAAACCTAATTTCACTGAGCTCGTGGACAGAGCTGTGGATTTATGGCCCTGGGCCCTCTAAAATTGGGCAACTGATACCACGGGGCCTTGGTTCCAGGCTCAAGACTTTGTCGTCTGCGCGCATGAAAGGCAAAGGACCGGAGGCCTCAGGAGGGCCTCTCCCTGGAAAATCCTGGTCTCGCTCCGCTCCTCCTGGGAAGAAAAAGGCTCCGCTTGAAAACCACTACTGAGTTTACTTCTCATAAATTTAATGGTAGTATACACCGAATTACTGTCACAAGTAATGCTGAGGATAACAACATGGATAACCACGGGAAGAAGGGGGCGAGAGGCCTTTGTATCAGTTCGATGCAGCATTGCCGGTTTAAGATTTCGCATCTGCACCCTTCCATACCATGACCTCAGACGCCAGCTCAAACTCCTTCAGCTCCAGGCTCGGGAAATCCAAAAGAGTCTTCTGACTCTCAGAGGATACCACACGATGCATGACTTTGAGGCTTAGCGAGCTTCCCCAAGGAGCGAAGATCCAGCGGAACCGCAGAATGGGCATATGAACAATATCAGAGATGCGGGTCTTGCACAAAATTTCACTGACTCCGGACCATCCTGAAACCGTAACAGTGCATGAGAATCTTGAAACCTCTCCAATCCCCGAGGTCTCAACACCAAAACCCCAACAGTTCCAGCCCACACTCTCCCCTTTCAAACCACACCGTAAACTCCGATCCCCCCTCCTCTCCCCCCACCCCTTTCCTGCGTTAGCAGAGTGCGCGCAGCCGTGCGGATCTTGGCCAGGGCATATTGCACGCGCCACACCTGCGGCTTGCAGGAAGGGTCTAGGTTCAAGGCTTAGGGACCGAAAGGCTATGTTCTTGTTCTTTTGTGTGTTCTTGCTGTTGCGAGTGCGCATGATATGATAATGCAGTACGTTACTCCGGTCTTGTGCCGTGCCAATTGTTTCTCTTGCTGCTGTCGCGCAGCAAGACTTTACTTAGATTCCCAAACCCCCACCCTCAACCTCAGAACCCCACCTGTAGACCTGCCGGCTCCCAGCAGAAACCCCGAAACACCAACGTCCCAGAGTTTGGCTGCAAGCATCCCACTCGATGGATGGAGTGCACCATGAGAGGGGGTTCAAGGTTACCCGTGAGGATTTAGGGACACGTCAGGAGAAGCTAGATAGGGTCTCTACGAATGTACGAGATATTTATTTATGCCAGCGGACGTTCCTCCAAAGCTCAACTTCACCTAAGCCGTTATTGGGGAAGTCCAGCGCCTTCCAACCCCCCAAACAAGCGTCGCCCACTGGGGCAGCATTTAATGTTCACGACTTCCGTGATCTTAGTCCTGACCTTAAACTTTTTAACCACCTCAAACCCGAAATCCTGAACTAAGCCTTGTTCGAGAGTGTCTTGTCCACTGGGCCGGGTCCTGAAAGCCTTCCAATAAAGGGCCTCACTGCGGCTTGTAATACATACTGACACTGTGCTGACATGATTCCTGCAAGCACCATGTGCAAACCCTCTTCTCGCAAGACTGATGAACCCTTAAATACGTAAGCCGCAGGCAACTGTCGCTGTTCTGACAGTCTGAGCCCTGGACAGTCTTAAGCCCCCAAAACTCTTTAAAACACCAAACCCTACGAACTGAGTTGTTACACCCTCCAACTGTAACGGCTTAAGCGGAAGTCCACGAAGCTACGTCAGGCCACGCCTCACGCTTGTTCTTAAGGCCATACTCGCCAATGATTTTCATCTCCTCAGTGTGCAGGGGGATGATCAAGGGAAGGCTGATTTTGCGCCTCGGCGGCTTGCAAAAGGTAAATCATTGCGGCCAGGGCGTCATCAGGAGAACACGTGCGGGGTCACGATCGTGATGCTGACGTGAATGCTAAGGGTACTAGCCCTGGTAGTGATGGCAGATCATGGCATGCAGACCAGTTACTCGTAGCATGGCATAGTACTATAGACTGCACTAGAATACGAGACTACACAGCCAGGGAACGACACACTGCCAATGGAATGCAACTAGACTAGACACGATGGTCCCAAGGCAAACATTAAGTAGAATGGAATATCAGCAAAGCAATTCGCAGTAAAACATGAAACGATTTGGCCGGCATGTACGAACACATATCTGAGTATACAATAACGAAACCACGCATGACACCCTGTAGCAAAGTGCAACCTGCAGTGCTCTGCAGCACACTGCAACAATGAAAAGAGATGCGGACGAACTGCCCTCGAAGACCACCATCTAGCCCCAGGTGAGACAACGTAACATCAACGAAAGCTGGTTGAGGTAATGGAGATGATAAAGAAAAAGCACGTGACAAAAGATGTATCGCAAAATAGAAAACCTATGATGAGATTCAGAATGCCTTTTCCGGAAAACATGTCATATAAAGGTCTGAATAGCTCGACTGGTGTCTTGGCGCCTTGTAGTAGATCATATACCGGGACACTCCAACAATAAGACATATGTTTGAGAACTGTTCTGACCTCTCTGTGGTAGGATTCCGGGTTCCCTGATTGAGGTCCTTGTCGCATTAGCAAGCAGCTACCACATTGAACGAACCGCTGATTCGGATCCAAGCAACCCATACGAACGACTACTAAAGAAACAGAGTCAACCCTTATTGCAGGATGCTGTAAGAAGTTTGGCAAAGACCTGTAAAGCCTATGAACAGGAAAAAACAATCCGGAACCGGATTTCAATTCTTCAACAGTAACCCCTCACGGGGAGCCCAGTCGCGCCATCGAGACGCTCCTTCTCGAAGGGTCTCTTCGGCTTTCTGAAAGTCTTCCTGACAGCTCAGGGCTTAGGGTTTAAGTAGCGCTTCAGAGCTTCAGCATTCAGGCTGTTCGGTATTTCCCCAGAGGGCTTAGGCAGGATTGTCGAGCTTGCTTCTGCAGGAAAGCATCCCATAGTTCTGGTAGCTCTTCTTGCCCATGATCTGCGAAACCCGGAGGGCGAAAGGGGAAGGCTTCCTTCGCTAGTCCTGCCGGCCTGTAGCCGCTTGAGCCACAAGTCAGAAAGCCGTAGGCGAAGAACGCCGAATCATGCAGGCCCTTAGGCTTCAGGTGTCCCTATGAACGGCATCTACAGTTGAGGGATTCGGCTCCCAGGTTGAAACGAAGATGCTATATCGCCTGCATTCACTGGAACATAACTGTCACGAACTTTTTTGGCACACGAAGCTCGTGTGGCTCCTTCCACTCTGCCCGCCAAAAAAGCGCAGACCGGGCCGGCAGAACGGGTCTCAGGAGCTACCTACCTATCTGCTAAACATCCCGGCACCGAAGGTCATGCCGCTGCCTAAGAAAGGCGACGGCGAATTCGCCATGAAGGCGGGGGCCGCCTGTTTCGTGGTGGTAGTGGTCGTCGTCGTTGTCGTGACTGCGGATGCGGGGACATAGGGGCAAGTCACTGTCGAAGGATACGTCGGGTTGAACGCCTCGGCCATGCAACACCTTGGCCGGAGGGGCTGCAGCTTCGGGTGTGGGAAGCTGGTGGCCTTCAAGGCCAGCAACTATCATTCAAGCAATGGCCCACTAGTTACTAGAAGTAGTAGGTAGGACTTCAAGTCTCTCTCCAGCCTTGGGATGGCAACAAACTTGCCTTAGACCCCGAGTCCTAAAGACCCCCACCAAACCGTGCCTGCACTCGCACCCATCTAACAATAAGAGCCCGAAAGTGCCTGAAGCTGAGGGCCCTGCGAGGAGGCACAGCTCGCGGCGGGAGCATCAACAGGCATGCCAGTGTACCATGTGCTCGAGAACACTGCAGATCCGGGCTGCAAGTAGACCTGCTTTCTGGGGGGGTAACCACAAGTGTTGGCGGTGGTGATGGCTCCCCAATTGAAGAATACGAAACAAGCCCAGACCGACCGTGAAGCCTACACCCCCGAAACCGTCAAGGCCCGGAACCAGGCCCAGAATGCTGAATCGCTCCTAGGCACCTCCTGGCAGGATCTTGCTGCTGGAGGATCACCGCGGTACGTCAACTCAACAGCCTCCGTCGTGTGCCTCTTGGCCTGTGCCGCAGGTAGTAGGGTTTAGGAGCTTAGGGGTTATGGAGGCTCAGGGCTTGGGATTGAGGGGTTGTGGGTACAGGGGACAGGGTTTAGGAGCAGGGTTTAGGAGCTTCGCGGCTTCTGGGCTTGAAGTTTACAGTTCGGGTCGGGGTGGGTTCCAACCTACTTGGCAAGCTGCCCACCTTGCACGCATCAATGGCTCCTTCCAGCTCGCTCTCTGCGACCCGCAGGGCGTTGATGAGACACTCAATCCTGCTCGCTTCGAAAAAAGACTCCACCGTCGCAATGCAACAGCTGATCCCGAATGGAAGGGTTTTGGGGCTGGGCGGTGCATCGAGCTGCATCGAATGACGAGGTACCGTATGTAAGAACAACAGTTACTGTCATCATCATAGAGAAAACAGCGGCTCATGAACACACATGACCCTTTCTTTGCCTTCAACGTCGGATCGTTTAACCTGCACGGAAATCTACTTCTCCATCCCCGTGGGTACGTCCACAGCGTGACATTGGGCGGTTTGCAAAACTTGCATCCTCGACCCTGGACCGAAACACAAAAGTCCCAAGGCCCCATGCCAAAAACCCATGCCGCCCCATGCCCGTCAGACTGCATACTTGCGCTCATCTGCATGGAGTCGATGCATCTCGAGTCCTTTTGACGGCCCTCCACTCAGCTTTCGCCGCCACTTCGCTCTCCTTTGCCAGGGAGACGACGTTCCCATAGACGTCCTGCACCCCAAAGGGCGTCAGGGTCGAGGCTTCAGGCCTAAGCAATGCCCTTTCGGCTCCCATCGCTAAGCCCATCTAAGCCGAACATGAACCCTGAACACACCGTCTGACGGCCACAACCGGAACACAACACGAAGCCCAAGACCCCAGAACATCAAAACCCCCGAACCTGGGACCCACGGTTTATGGTTTGAGCTTGACACACTTCTATACAAAGCGCCCCAATCCCGAGCCGAGGCTTCGAGCTTGGACTAGGTGTTGGTAGCACGGTAGCTCCTAGAGCTAGAAGAGTTGTGAGGCAGCGAAAGCGCAACACACAGCACTCGCGCAGCTTCTGTCTTTTCCTCGGGCGATCTCGCCCTCCACGCAGCATCTGCAGCTTCTAAGCTGCCATGGCAAAAGGGTTCCCTAAGGGTTTGAGAAGAAAGTGCCGCACACAAAACAGGTGGAGCTGCAACATGTCGGAGGCTGCACAAGACATGTCTAAGGCGAAGCTAAATGTCCTTTGGAATTGCGACGCCCAAAAGCCCACAGACGAAGACATGGAACAGCACCGTTCACTGACGCTGCTTGAGACGCTTGGCAGAGCTGATGTCAGGGTCGTAGCTTAGCGTCCATCGCCCAGGCTGCAGAAGTTGGTGAAGGGACCCCGGCTTCGTAGGTTTTGTCAAAGAGTCAGCGACCTGGGCGTCGCTGTTGACCCACCGAACGGAGGTCTGTCCTTCTTGAACACGTTCACTCAGGGAGAGGAGTTCCAGGGCACTGTACTTTTCCTGAAGTCCGCCTGCAGCAGAGTTCAGGTCCTCCTTGTGAAGCACGTCGTAGGCTCTTGGCGTCCGTGACCAGGATGCCGGGGATGGAGCGGATCTCCTCGCCAGGCTTCCGTAGGTCCACGTCATAACCAATCATCTCCTTCCACTGAAGCCGGATCAGCATGAGTTCCTCTTTCGCCTCCGAAGCCGCCTGGGTCTCAGCAGCCAGGCTTGATCTGGCAACTCTCTTCAACCTTGCGCTCCGCCAGCTGATCGGTGTGACAGCAGCATGCTCACCTCGGGCCATTGCCGACGTCGTTGCACACACGATGTATCCGCCCGTAGACCCATAATCGGGGCGATTGCCCACGGCAGCGTCTGCCCAGGCCACGAAGGTCACATCCTCGGGGCGGGCGCCATCTAGGTCCGTCACCTTCATGTGAAGAAAACGGCCGTGATAGGCTTCACGGACCAACTTGTTGGCCTGCTTCAGGGTCCTCACGGTGGCCTTGTTGACACACGACTGGAGCATGCTCAGCTGCACCATCAGTTGCGGTGCCGTGCTGTACGCACGCCACTCTAACGCACCCAAAGCAGCACGCAGCTGGGCCACCTCGTCCTTGGTAGCCAACTCATCGTCGCCACGGGCCTCAAACTTAATCTCATCAATCTGGGCGTAGTACTTGGCCTGGTCCATGATGACCTCGCGGTGGCCTTCTTTTATCATGACACCACAATAATTGTAGTCGACGACCTCCCATGGGCTCCATCTGTAGCTTTCATAGAAGCGGTTGACGATGGACACCCAGTCAGCGTCGCCCTCGTCGCCCGTGATGATAAAGTCATCGACGTGGGCTGCAATCAGCCCAACTAGACGCGGCACACCATTGTGCCACTTGACAAACTTCCAGCAACAAGGTTCTGTACGCAACTGGACCATCCCCAAGCTGACCAGCGTCCTGTTTATATCTCTGAACCATTCAGCAGGTGCATTCACTAGTCCACAACAAGCTTTTGCTATTTGGACCACCTCGTTGTTCCGAAGCTTCATCGCCTTCGCGAGCTCCGGCACAGGACGCGCGAACACCGACCTGGCCATTTGGGTCGGTGCTGTCTGCAGAAAAGCTGCTCGCACATCAGCTTTCATGGTCTTCCAGTTCCGCAAAGTAGCCTGCTGGTACACAAATGGGCGGGTTCTCCGGGACATAGTCGGGCTTGAAGAGACCAGGGATCCAAGATCCGGGTCTTGAAACCCCACTATTACTATTCGGGCTTTGGCTGCTCCCGAATCTTTGTACGTCAGTACCCAGCGCATGGACATAATCCTGTCCTTTGCGATGTGGCCGGAGACCTTCCTTGCCGCTGCTTCCCGGATGCACTGGTTGACTTCGGTCTGCTTGGCGTTGCATCATCACGAATCCACACCTGGCCATCAAGGAAGCGAGTAAGAGGCACAATGAGGTTTCGAGAACCCCGTGCATTACCCTTGTCAAGGTGGAAACCAGTTCGGACATTCTGCAGCAGCTGCAAAGCTCCGAACTCGAAAGTGGGATCGACAAACCTGACCAAGGAAGTCAGATAACGACACGTCACTGGCATGAGCTTGCAATTGTTGAAGAGCAGAGCTTCCCCCGCGCGAACATAAAAGCCAAAGCTTACTTTGAAGGAGTCACCGTCTTGCGATTGAGCACCACGCAGGGCACGGTCCTGAGGGATCAATCTGGACAAGCGAAGACAACTGTCAGAGTCAAGGCTGAGGCTGTTAATGAGCTCGCGTGCCAACGCCTCGACTGAACCGTGACCTTTCACCTCAGAAGACGCCTCAGCTGCTGCAGGCAAAGGTGCAGGTTCGGGAGCTAAACCCAAAGAGGATGAAGGGCCCGCTGGGTCACAATCCAGACGGGGGTGCCTATGTGAAACCGCTAAACCCGAAGATGTGGACACGCCTCAGCGACACGGTCCACCTGCACGGTGGCTCCAGAAGGTGTAGAGCCCTCCGAGCCCTGAAGCAAATGCATTGCCCCGCGCTTCAAGTGTAATCTCGATCGAAGGAATTCTGCATCGGCACAAGTGCCGACTGCACGGTCATGCAAATTGGAGGGAACACCCTCCGAACTCGAGGCCCCCTTGACGGACCCTCGACAGTGCTTGGTGACATCTCCACCCCCCGTGACAGCTGTTCTGCCAATGGTGAGGGAGATCTGATCATGCAAAGCCCCATCAGGAGGCGGTGATAGTCACTCTCGACTGAGCGACTTGCAAGTCAACACTGAGTGACGTGGCTTATGGCAAGCCGCGCAAACATGAAGCCCTTTCGAGCACTTCAACCAGCCCGACTTGGCATCCTTTTCCGTCTTGTTCTGGCAACCATCCTCAAGATTGAAACCCAAACATGCATTACCGAACTTGGTCCGCGTCTCATACTGTGCCAGGCCTGCCGGCCTGTCGCGAGGCCCCCCTCGGGCCTGCGCATTTGCTTTGGCCCGCTCCGTTGCGGCCCTCGGTGCCTTACGTGGATCAGGCACCTTGCCGGCCTTGTCCTTGTTCGGGTCCTTGGATGGGTGCTTAGGCGGAGTCGGCTTGACAGCCTGACTCTTCTGCATCGGGAGAAGGAACTGAGTGATGCGGGGGTCCAGCGACAAGCGAACCATCAGTTGATACCGTCGGCTCCTGACTTAAACGATGGCAAGCTCTCCTGAGACATAAGAAGAAACATCTCCTTGTCTGCACGCACACACTGAGCCAGGGTGACAGGTGAATAAGTCGGCGGTGGCACGCGCGAAAGGCTGTCCAATAGCCTTTGGATCCACTTCTGACGCACATTGAAAGTTATCATCTTGCACTGATCGTAAGCTAAGCCCCTGCGCATCCAAGCCCACTGACACCTAAGGGAATCCGAAGTGTCACACTCCACGGTGATGCTAGGGCCCCCCAGCTTCACTGTGTTGTTCTCAACCTGCAACACGCTAGGCTTCTCTTTGAAACCTGCAATAACCTCCACCTCCCGCTTCGGGCACTTGGAGGGAGGTAGCCAGTAGATCACAGCATTCTCCATCTGATGATTACAAGCGTCAATCAACTGATAAGCTGGGTCCAGTTCACCCTCCATCTCGATGCCACGCAAACGAGCCTGCTGGGTCTCCTTTCTCGCTCTCTTCTCAGGGAGAGGAAGCTTTCTTAAGGGGGCTCCATCCGAAGAATCATGACTGACCATGTCACGATAGGTCTGAATGACAAGTGTCGATGCCTCGAAGTGGAGCTGCCTGATACAAGACAGCTCACCCACCGTTGGTTCTCCTTCCCCCGACCCGAAGACTTTTCGGGTGAGCTCAGCGAATGCCCCGAGGGAGGGGACTGTGGAGTACCCAAGGCGAAGGCTAGCGACCTGAACGTCCTCACCCCCTGGCCCGAAAGCCCCGCAAGGAGTGAACCATCTCCCCTGACGTCGAGGCATCGCCGCTCAAAGGTGGCTTCGCTCTCTATGACCGTGGACATGACGCGCCCTAATCAAAATCAAGTTCGAGCCTAACATCACATACATGTGAACATGAGAAAAATAACTGAAATAGACGACATGCTCAAGCACTCATGAATCACACGCAACATTGCAGACGGGCATCCTTCATTTTACACCATGGCCTCGGCGATCTTAGCACAGAGCCGGCAACGCGAGTAGGCTGGCCCTGGCCGTCCATCCATCTTTCTGTGAAGTGGCCCAATCGCACGGCCACACTCAAAGCTTTTGCTGTGCCCATCTTGCACAAGATGCAAAGTCTCGTCCTTAGTGTGCTCATAGTAACACATGCCAGCAGGTGGATCAGGAATGACCCACCCGACAAAAGAGACCCTGCCATGCTCGGGAGCATCTTGGGTCTCAGAGCTGCTGCTGGAACCCGTGGTTCCCGGAACAGAACTGTTTTCTCCTTCGGGAGAAGGCTCACGACCAGCCGCCTGGTCAGCAGCCCCTTCAACAGGATGGCTGGGCAAAATGCCCGCCTCTTCTTCATCCTTTATATCAATGAACACCCTGGCCTATGAAGTTCTCATCTACAGGAGGGTTCGAGCTAAACCAGTAAGGGGTTTGGATGAAATGAGACGACTTTCAAGTTTGTCATCAAAACGACTGGGGGGGTTCGTTTTCGGAGCCATAAAAAAAACCAAATTGGGGAAATGTGTTCTGGCCATTTCCCATACCAAGTACTTGCACCGGGAAACCCGTCAGCTCAGCTAGGTTGCTACGACCCCAGC